TGCAAGACCTAATGGTTTACAGAACACATCCACATCCACACAACCTATGATGTATAATATTGCCCATTTTCTGGAGGAGGAAATTGAAGTTCTGAGACTTGAAATAACTTCACCAAGGTTACATAAATGGTAAACAGGAAGGCTGCAATTTGAACTGAGTTTTATCTGATGCCAAGACATTTGGTTGATCTATTGCACTGTGGCTACCAGATCAGTATAAGTGACTATTAATTTCCCCTATGTTCCTCACTAATTTCCTCAGAGCTCGCCTCTCTTCTTTTGCCCCCAGTACTAAACACCTTTCTGGTTAAAAGCATTCATGCTTCTGCCAATGCAAGATCTTCTGCTTTTTCCTCCTTTTCCATCATCATCATCACCATCTTCTTCCTCCTCATCTATCTCCCTTCTATTGAAGTAGGAACAGACATTGAGTAAATTAGGATGTTCTGAACTGTGGACCTCACAATCATTTCCCCAGAGCCAAGCTCAGTGTCTTATACATAGGAAGTACTTGATAAATAGGAATTGAATTAAATTGAATGAATGAATTGAATATGAATTGAATCCATTCATTCATGAAGTAATACTCTCTACCAAAATCCCTCCATCTAGAAAGAGATTAAGGTAGCACTTATAAAATATCACCTTCTTACAAATGTTGTTTGAAGTAGGACTACTAGGATGTGCTAAAAAAAGTCTCCCCGGAGGATGGTATTAGATTAGATTCTTTGCAGCTAGAATCACCAAGTCTCCAATTCTTCAGCCAGTCTTAGGCTAACTCTGGAGGGATGCTGGATCAGGGGCTTCTTTGAGAAGTCAGATAAAACTCTTATGAGAGAGCTTTCTTCTCTACTTAGGTGCTTAGTCCTAGGCAAGTGGGTTAAGTCTCAATGCACTTTTTAACACCGCTTTTCCCTTGTCTGTTTAAAACAAAAAACAAGCACCTGTTCCATTCCTGGGGAACTCCAAACATGATCACAGCAGCCAGAGACTAACATATTTCACAATGGCGACGCCCGTACCTTGTATCCTTGTTGCTATGAGAGATGGGCTGGTTACCCATTATATATGAAGACAAAGGGACTCTCACATACATCAGTGTCCTGTTGCTTTTCAGTTGTAAGGAAACAAGAGAGGGACTATGTCACTTGGGAAGAAAAGGCGATGTGCTAAATCAGGCATGGTCAGACCAAGTATCCTCAGGCACTCTGTTCAGGAGGTGATTTGCTACTTAAATTCAGAGCCTGAACCTTGGTAGCACAGTGTTCTGTCCTCAGTGATATAGATCAGAGACTGGCAAACCATGATCCATGAATCAAATCCAGCCCTCAAGTTGCTTTTGCTCAGCCAGGAGCTAGGAATGGTTTCTGAAGATAAATGTTTGCAATCAATATGAAGAAAAAGAACACTAATTTTGGATCCATTTTCAGCAGATGTTATCCCCTAAAGAATCCAATCTTCTCATTAGTAGAGTCTCTATTATTATTATACTTTGAATTTCATCAATGAAACTTTTTGGAAATCTATTATTTCTGGTTACATAAGGGTCAGCAAAGCCTAAAATAATGACTATCTTCCCCTCTACAGAACAGATGCTGATCACTTTTCGGACTTGCCACCTGCCGTATGACCCCTCACACTTGGACATCTGTCATATCTGAATAGCTGTGGTTCCCCAAATGCACCTTGCTCCACCTGCTCCTGCTGTCCCTTCTCCCCGCTGTCCCTTCTGCCTGCAGTGTGTTACCTCCCTGCCCACCTGACAGTGTGTTTCTACCGAAATCTGACTGAGCCCTCAAAGTTCAGCTTAGGTGATACCCTCCACCCTGAGGTTTTCCCTGATCCTTCATATCAGACTAAAAACACAGAAAATCTTTTATCTGAGTATTTCATGGTTCTGTTCCCAGAAATTCAGACTGTGTGCACACAGAAGGGCAAAATTACCTCTTTATATTAGCCAAGTGGTTCTCACACCTACTGAGAGTGATGAGGAAGAGAGTTGCCATTTATTTAGTGCTTACTATGGGCTAAGCACCGTGTTAAGTGCCGAACATACATCATTCATGCATTTGTTCAATTAAAATCTATTTAGCATCTCCTAAAAACCATGCACTAAGCTTGGTGCTGGGAGTGCAATGGTAAATATGACAAGCGAAAGAGTCACAGATTTCATGAAACATTAAGTCATTTGAAAACCTTACAAGATAGGTATTATTGATTCTATTGCACCAACCAGGAAACAAAATCAGAGACGATAGGTTAAATAACTTGATCAAAGACATACAGTTAATAAATGGTAAGCAGGATTTGAACGCAAATCTCCATATAAAGCTAGACATCTGGGAGGAGCTGGAATTCCTATTAAGTATTGTAATCTTAAAAGGCCTTCTTTGTTCTTATCTCATTGGGAAAACCTCTAGGGAGGACTATATAGTTCCTATTTTTTGCTTTTCTGGTGGAACTAACTCTGCTCTTGACACACTGCACAGGTCACTTACTCAGGAAGTGGTCCCTAATTCAGACTGAGTCAGATCCCCGTTTCCTCTCAGTTCGGTTCAGTTCAGTCGTGTCCAACTCTTTGCGACCCCAAGGACTATAGCATGCCAGGTCTCCCTGTCCATGACCAATGCCCAGAGTTTATTCAAATCTATGTCCATCAAGTCGGTGATGCCATCCAACCATCTCATCCTCTGTCTTCCCCTTCTCCTCTTGCCTTCAATCTTTCCCAGCATCAGGGTATTCCCCAATAAGTCAGTTCTTACTTCTCCACTTTTCTCTAGTAGCATACTGGGCACCTGCCGACCTGAGGAGTTCATCTTTCACTGTTGTATCTTTTTGCCTTTTCATACTGTTCATGGGGTTCTTAAGGCAAGAATACTGAAGTGGTTTGCCATTCCCTTTTCTAGTGGACCACGTTTTGTCAGAGCCCTCCACTATGACCTATCCATCTTGGGTGGCCCTACATGGCATGGCTCATAGTTTCATTAAGTTAGACAAGGCTGTGGTCCATGCAATTGGTTTCATTAGCTTTCTGTGTTTCTGGTTTTGCCTTGTGCTTATTTCTATTATTGCACTTAATATCATTACTGTAATTTTCTTATTATGTTTCACTTTAGACCAGGAACCCTTGTAGGACAGATTCTGTGTAATTTATTTCTTTTTTGTGTTTTTGTGTGTAATTTATTTCTATAGCCCCAGGTTCTAGCATAGTGCCTGATACCAGATGTGGTAGATGTTAAATAAATGAATCAATGAAAGTCTTATTGGTAACCTGCTCCGTTTCATTCTCTCAATGATAACTACAAAAGTGGGCAGCACTTACTGATGGGCATACACTCGTAAAAACATTATCTCCCTTCACCTTCATCATGACTCTGTGAGGTCACTACTGCATAATTATCTCCATTTTATTGATGGCTTCCCTGGTGGCTCAGATGGTAAAGAATATACGCGCAATGCAGGAGACCTGGGTTTGATCCCTGGGTCTGGAAGATTCCCTGGAGAAGGGAATGGCTACCCACTCCAGTATTCTTGCCTGGAAAATTCTATAGACAGAGCCTGGAGGGCTATAGTCCATGGGGTCGCAAATAGTCAAACATGACTGAGTGACTCACACTTTCACTTCACTTTATTGATCAGAAATATAAAGGGTTTCTCAAGGTCATTGATTTTTAGTTAGAGAGAGATGACACAAATCCTAGGTTTACTGGTCACCAAATCCTTTACAGCAGGGATCTCCAGGCCTTGGGTCACACGGTACCTGCTGTCAGATCAGCAGTGGTGTTAGATCAGAAATAAAGTACACAATAAATGTAATGAGCTTGAATCATCCCCAAAGCATCCCTGCTCCCTGGTCTGTAGAAAAATTATCTTCCATGACACTGGTCCCTGGTGCCAAAAACGTTGGGGATCGCTGCTTTACAGGGCTCCAGGACATCACCCAGGACTCATACAATCATCCTTCCATGAATCTTCCAACAGAATTAACCAGCCCTAATTTCAGACCTTGAGAACTCAGATCCTGATTAAACTTCAGCAGGCCCTGCCTGGTACTTTAGATACTTGCATGCATGTTGCCTTCCACATAAGACTGCAAGCTCCTATACGGGGTGGTTGGGGGGGAGTGGGGTGAGCATCCATTTCCATGTGCTCTGCACCTTGAATCCTCATAACGCATAGCCCCAGCCCTTGCATGCTCTTAAGATGTTGCATTGAACTTGGAATAAAAATGATATTAAGCCCACTGTATTATTATAATGATGATATTATGATCAAATAAATCCAACCTAATTCCCTGCTTTTATAGTATAAGCCTCTTTCACCATGAACTAAAAGCCCTGAAGGATAGAAGGATTTCGAAAGAAGATGGAAGGTGGATGGAACGGAAAATTGTGAGCAAAATCCAGCAATGGTTATGTGTGGAGCTTGTCAAGGGTCAGCTCAGCCAGTAATCTGGCTATATCACTCCCTGGGGTCCCTGAGATTTTAATGTTCAACCAGAACTGAGAATCTGCAGGAAAAAGCATCAGGTGTGCGAAGTGAGCAGAGGGAAAAAGTGCTGACTGCTCCAGATACATCAGAGCCTGGGAAGCCTTGACAGGAGGTTAAGCCGCTAAGACCTTGCCCTGGAAGGGAAGAGGATCCAGGGAGCCCAGGACAAGGAGGAGTGAAACCACTCATCCTTCTGCCACTGCAGAAGATGGTGAAGGAAGAGAGTATGAGCTTAGGAGAGTGGAAACTGGGGGACAGACGGCTGCCCTCCCAGGAATGGCATGTCGAACTGTAGGAACAAGGCAGAGGGCTGCTTGGGCTGCAAAAGAAAGACACAGCTGGAGGCTGGAATGAGGAGAGCCAGGCCCCTGAACCAGCTCAGCCACTGACTGGTGGTCAGTGACTTTAGCCCCCAGACCGCCCTGACTCTATCCTTCATCTTTTAAGAGAGAAAGGTTTACCTTAAAAGGTCATGATAAAGTCTAATTAAAAGGTATGTTAAGCTCTTTCCCATCTTGCAAGATGGCGGGTGAAAAGGCTGAGAAGCCAGATACTAAGGAGAAAAAACCTGAAGCCAAGAAGGCTGATGCTGGCAACAAGGCTAAAAAGGTGAAAATGGTGAAGAAAATTAAGAAGGGTAAGCCCCACTGCAGCCGAAACCCTGTCCTGGTCAGAGGAATTGGCAGATATTCCCGATCAGCCATGTACTCCAAAAGGGCCCTGTACAAGAGAAAGCATTCAGCAGCTAAATCCAAGGTCGAAAAGAAAAAGAAAGTTCGGGTTCTTTCTACTGTCACAAAACCAGTTGGTGGCGACAAGAATGGTGGTATCTGAGTGGTCAAACTTCGCAAAATGCCTAGGTATTACCCTACTGAAGATGTGCCTCAGAAACTGTTGAGTCACGGCAAGAAACCCTTCAGTAAGCACATGAGGAAGCTGCGCGCCAGCGTCACTCCTGGGACCGGTCTGATCATCCTCAGGGGGCGCCACAGAGGCAAAAGGGTGGTTTTCCTGAAGCAGCTGGGCAGTGGCTTGCTTCTTGTGACTGGGCCTCTATCCCTCAATCTAGTTCCTCTGTGTAGAACACACCAGAAATTTGTCATTGCCACCTCCACCAAAATCGATATCAGTGGTGTGATAATCCCAGATCATCTCACTGACACTTACTTCAAGAAGAAGCTGCATAAGCCCAGACACCAGGAGGGTGGGAACTTCGACAGAGAGAGAGAAATACGAGATCACAGAGCAGCGCAAGGCTGATCAGAAAGCTGTGGACTCACAAATTCTGCGAAGAATCAAAGCTGTCCCTCAGCTCCAGCGCTACCTCCGCTCTGTGTTTGCTCTCACAAATGGAATTTATCCTCACAAAGTAGTATTCTGAACTTCTTGCAAAGAACCTAATTAAATAACCTGTCCATTTCAAAAAAAATAAAAGGTATGTTAAATCAGTATGGCATTGTGTGCTCAGTAAATGAGGTTGAGACTCGGTTATGTCTCGAACAATCTGCTTTTCTGCTTTCTGCCACTGACTGTTTTTCTCCCGCTATGGTTTAATGAGAAACCGTTCTTAAGGGCCACTCTAAGATAGTCTACAACATGGGCCAGCTTTTTGAAGTCACTGCAGGAAATAGACAGTGACCACAGGCAACAACACAGTGAAAGGCACTCAGGGTGGGTTTTGTGGTTTGGGGCTTGGGCCCTATTTTCCCATTGAAAGAATTATATGAGGCTCATTCCTACAAAGCCTCTTCATTCAGTCTGAAAAGAAATACACACCGACAATGGACTGTGATGGGATCAGAAGGACGGACAAGATCACTACTATGCTATACACGTGAGGGTAGCTTTTGCGGGACTATAGCGGGCCCATGCTCTCAGTCTCAGATGAGAACAACACAGACATGTACGCTCCTTCCTTGACTGACTCTTCTGCTCATCCCTGAGATGTCGGGGTGGCTGGGCTCTGGCTGCAGCATATTCTTCGTCTCACCCCCTTTCTTCCCAACCACTCTGACCCCCACATACTTGATCCTCACTGACAGCTTGATATCCAGATTTTTCTTTTCTGTTATGCCTTTTCTCCTGAGCATCAAATTTGTATTTCCATATACTTAGTTTATAATTTGTTTCTTATTTTTTATTGAGGTATAACAAAGTTTCTAGCAGCCTGCCAGGCACAGGGGAGGCACTTGATTATTATTAGTATTTCTAATGGTGAAAACTAGCATTTTTAGTGAACATCAAGAGAATTTTTAGTTTGCTGGTCAAGGTCCATTTTCAGTTTTCTTCATTTGGCAGAGAATTAGAAGCTCACTTGTCTACGTGTCTACAACTGACAATCTGAAAAACCAAAGCTGCATTGATCACAGAGATGGCTCTCTTTAGTTTTAGAGGACACTGTTGGATTATTTGAGTTATATATCTGGGACACTGAGTGGTTCTTTGTGATTATAGGTTTAGAACTGTCACTGCCTTGGCTGCTTTTTTGAAAGCTCATAGATGCATTAGATGCCTCTTTTTTTTTTTTTTCTTTTTCTAGGAGAGCAACCAACTGCTAATGTGGGTATCTTCTCTCCTCTGGTCTTTGTGGGTTAGTCTTGGTAACATTATATCTAACTGTGCAAGGTCAATCAATGATCCAGAAAAATGCTTTGCACACAGTAATTCCTCAGTATTTTCCAGGGTGGCATAAGGTTTTGCTGAGATAGGTACCCAATGTGGTTTCCATGATTAATTTCTCTCCTACTTTTCTTCCCTCCCTTCTGATCAATCGTTTGTCTTTTTCATGGTTATTCCTCCTGCTGTCAGTACCCTCAATGCATGTATCCCTCAGGGCTCCATTCTCTGCTGGCTAATTCTACTTCTTCTCTAGGGTTGATTTCACCTCCTCCCATGTCTTTAATCATTTCCACAGGATGTTTCAAATCACAGCCCTGAACTCTCGCTACACTTCAGATCCATTTATTCATCTGCCCCTTGAAACTTCTTGTCAGATATCTCATAGACAATTCAAATTCTAAAAATAAGCTCAACTTCCACTCCTGACTTTTTCTTCTCTACATTCATCATAGAAGTCTGAATAAGAGTCTGTTCCAATGACTAGGACCATTACCAGTTATGCAAACCAGAAAAATTTATTTTGAATTTATCCTCTTCCTTGCATCTCAGTTGATCATTGAGACCTGTTTTTCAGTAACTATATGTACTATGCTTTAAATTTCAAATCCCAAAGTCATACTCCAGGCTTTATCATTCTCTCTGTATTACTCCAATAGCCTCTTACTGGCCACCTTTTCTCTCACCTCCCCAGGTCACCAGCCAGTGGGACATTTATAAACTTTAAATCATATTCAACTATCTGTAGTTCCTGAGCCTAGATTCTTTCAGTGACTCATTTATTTAAAAAAGAAAATCCAAACTCCTTAGCCAGGGATATAAAACTGTTCCTAGTATGACCTCTCACAGCATAAAAATAAAGGAATGGTAAAAATAAGAGGAAAGCTTACTAAAAAGGGAGATGATTAACAAAACCAAAATGTGACTCTAAAAAAACTAAACAAACTTTAATAAAACAACTATGAAAAAAGAGAGAAGGTACCAATTAAGTGTGAAAGAGGATTTAACTGCAGATAAGTAGAATTGAATATAAAATCCACAAGATAATGCTATGAGGACTCATGTCAATAAATTTAAAAATTATAAAAGAGTGATCACATTACCTTGAAAAATATAAATTACTAAAATTGGCTCAAGAAGAAATACAAAAGCTGAATAAATGAGTCACTATTAAAGACATCAAATTGATAGTAAAAAAATAGTCTATTCATGAAAAAAGAGATGAGTACAGAGAATTTTACAGAAGATTCTTATCAGCTATTTAAGGAGGAACACTTGTTATAAGCGTTGTTCCAATAACTGAAAAGGAGAAAAATCTGCCTATCTAATCGTGTAGATACAACCACGATTGCAATATTGCACCATAGTGATATAAAAAAGGAAAAAGTTTTAGACTAATTTTACCTATGAATATATGTGCTGCGAAGAGCTGACTCATTTGAAAAGACCCTGATGCTGGGAAAGATTGAGGGCAGGAGGAGAAGGGGACAACAGAGGATGAGATGGTTGGATGGCATCACTGACTCGATGGACATGGGTTTGGGTGAACTCTGGGAGTTGGTGATGGACAGGAGGCCTGGAGTGCTGCGGTTCATGGGGTTGCAAAGAGTTGGACATGACTGAGCGACTGAACTGAACTGATATGTGCTGCTGCTGCTGCTAAGTCGTTTCAGTCGTGTCCGACTCTGTGTGACCCCATAGACGACAGCCCACCAGGCTCCCCTGTCCCTGAGATTCTCCAGGCAAGAACACTGGAGTGGGTTGCCATTTCCTTCTCCAATGCATGAAAGTGAAAAGTGAAAGTGAAGTTGCTCAGTCGTGTCCAACTCTTAGCGACCCCATCGACTGCAGCCTACCAGGCTCCTCTGTCCATGGGATTTTCCAGGCAAGAGAACTGGAGTGGGGTGCCATCACCTTCTCCGGAATATATGTGCAAACATTTCAAATAAAAAGTAGCTAAAGAATTCGGCATCATAAAATACATTTTTATCTAAGTAAGATTTATCCTAGGAATGAAAAGATGGCACAACATCAGAAAAATCTATAAACAGACTAAAAATGAAAACCATATGACTTTCTCCGTTGATGGCCCCAAAAACCATTTAATAAGATTCAATACAAATCCATAGTTTTAGAAACCCCTAGAAATTAGTATAAAGACAAATTTCTTAACCTGATATGATGCTGTCTCCTAATGACACAGAGCAAACCTCATATTTAAGGAAAAAACTTCAGGAGCATTCCCCCTTGTCTCAAGACAAACATGCCTGCTATCACCTACCATCAAAATTATACTGGATATCCCTACCAATGTGGCAATATACATACACACAAAAATACACTAATATCAGAATGAAGATGATAAATTGGCATTTACTAAAAGCATACATTATCTCCACAGATGGCCCAAGAGAATCTAAAAACAAAATTAGAGAGTGGTAAAAAGTTGCTGAATATAATATGAACATATAAAAATTAATACATATGAGTAACAACAACAAATTAGAAAATGTAATAAGATATATGTTGAAAGCAAGAAAGCTAACTTTAAATAGCTCAGAAAAAAATGATAGTATGGTATTAGCTCAGATGAATGGACTAGAAGAGAGATCTCAGAAATACTCAAGCATGTGCTACCTTATGTGATAAAGAGATATCAGTGGGGATATTAATGCAGAAATAAACTTTTAAAAAATGTATTGGAATAAATGGCTTTCCATATGAGAAAAGGAAAATTAGATCCCTACTTCATTCCATACATAAAGTTAAATCCAATTATGTTATTAGAGGCTTAAATATAGAAAAATAAACTTAAAAACTATTTTGTATGTGTGTATGTTGTTTAGTGGCTAAGTTGTGTTTGACTTTTTTGCGACCCCAGGGACTGTAGCTCGCCAGGCTNTCCATACATAAAGTTAAATCCAATTATGTTATTAGAGGCTTAAATATAGAAAAATAAACTTAAAAACTATTTTGTATGTGTGTATGTTGTTTAGTGGCTAAGTTGTGTTTGACTTTTTTGCGACCCCAGGGACTGTAGCTCGCCAGGCTCCTCTGTCCATGGGATTTCCCCAGCAAGAATACTGGAGTGGGTTGCCATTTCCTTCTCTAGCGGATCTTTCCGATCCAGGGATCAAATCTGAGTCTACTGCTTGGCAGGCAGATTCTTTACTATTGAGCCGCCAGGGAAGCTGTATGTGTGTACATGTGTGACTTTTGCAGAGAAAATTACAAAATGTAAGTGAAGGACATAAAGACAAATAAATGGCAAACAATACCATATTTGTGTATGGGAAAACACACTACCTTAAAGATAGCAAATCTCCCCAAGCAGTGTTTTCCCAAGTAAAGCCTGAAGTTCACTTGCATCAAAATTAGCTAGAGTGCAGGACTTGCCTGGTGATCCAATGGTTAAGAATCCACCTTGTAATGCAGGAGATCGACCCCTGGGCAGAGAATTAAAATCCTACATGCCTGTGCACTGCAATGAAGATCCTGCATGCCGCAGCTAAGACCCCACACAGCCAAATAAGTAAATATTTAAAAAATTACCTAGAGTGCTTGTTAAAATATAGATTCTTAGGCTCCATTTTAAACCTGCTGAATCAGCATGTCTGAGGATGAGGCCAGGAATCTACATTTTAGGAAGCTCTCCAGATGATTCTCTTGTGAACTAAATTTTGAGAAATTCTGCCTTAAGGGAAGAGGGTGTAACCTGAATTGCACACGAGAATTATCTGGGGGCAGTTTTCAAAGACTCACATGC